GACAGGGAGAGACCCTGTCTCAAAAAAAAAAAAAAAAAAAAAATTAGCTGGGCATGGTGGCACGAGCCTGTAATCACAGCCACTTGGGAGGCTGAGGCAGGAGAATCAATTAAGCCCAGCAGGTGGAGGTTGCAGCGAGCCTAGAGTGTGCCACTGTCTGGGTGACAGAGTGAGACTCTGTCTTAAAAAAAAAGAATACCCCAGACCTCTGACAGCTCCCTGGATTTCCCCGCCCTCTCCATCCACTGGCAGCTTCTCCTCAGCTAGATTCCTTTAGTCCAGTCCCCAAGGCTCTGTACCAGCCCTCTCTGTCCATACCAGCCCTCTCTATCCACTCCAGCCCTCTGGATACGGACACCTCTTCCCTCCCCCAGCATCAACTGGTATCCCAGCCTGGGCTGAATCGAGGCCTGATCCTAGATCTTCTTGACAAACTGAAGAATCCTGGGAAAGGACCCTCCATTGGGGACATTGAGGATGAGGAGCCCGAGGTGAGCGCCTTGACTGACAAGAGCACTGGGGACCGCTTGGTCCTTCTCAGGCTGTGCCTGCTGCCGGCAGTGCCTTCCCGCTGCCTCTCTTAGGGGGAGAACAGGCAGGGAGGATGGGGAGCTTGGTACAAGGCTGTGTGCCCAGAGGGTTACAGGAAAGCAGATGGACCCCGGGCAGGGTAGGGGGCTGCTTGGGGGTCCTGAGCCCTGACGTGGCTGCCCCTCTGCCCAGCTACCCCCTGCTATCCCTCGACGGATCAGATCCACCCACCGCTCCAGCTCTCTGGGGATCCCAGATGCAGACTGCTGTCGTGAGTAGAGAATCCTTATCTCTGGGGACACCTGACCCTATAATAGACCTAAGAGACCCCCTTCCCTTAGCATCAGGCCATCAGAGACCCTCAGTATCATCTGATCCTATAAGAGACCCCAGACAATCTCATCAGCACCTGACCTACAAAATGACCGTAGAGGCCGGGCGCGGTCGCTCACGCCTGTAATCCCAGCACTTTGGGAGGCCAAGGTCGGGGGGATCATCTGAGGTCAGGATGTTGAGACCAGCCTGGGTAACAGGGTGAAACCCCGTCTCTGCTAAAAATACAAAAATTAGCCGGATGTGGT